TGGTAGATTATTTTTCAAATTAACTAAGTCAATGTTTCAATAAGTTTAATCGCGTATAATTTACGTGATAATAGGCTCAGTTGATGACAGCCTTGAAAATTGAGTTGCGCTAAAATGATTATTAATTATTTCAAGTTTATAATATGCCATAATTTGTTTGCAAATTGTGATCCCTCTCGACCATATAACACAAACCTATCATAGAGTATAGCTTGTAATGAAATACTGTTTTGTTGCTGATTTTCTTGTTTATCAAAGATGCTTGTGTAGTCACAACATAGTTATTGATCAGATATCTGTTATTCTTAAGCTGAATTATTTCAATTGATGAGTTGAAAAATATTGAGATCAGATCTAATGTGAGTAGAAAGTTTAAATGATTAATACATCACCAAAATTCAACGCTTATATATTTCAAAAACAATCAGCTAAATTTTACCATTTATAGTGTTTCGTAAAGTGATGTAACCAATAAGAACAATTGTCAAATAAATGGGGTTGCTACCTCACAATAACACTGTCGGGCCTAATAATGCTATCTTAAATAAGACGGTCCCTCAAGCTTACTACCATCGGTAGCAGTGTAGTGAAGGAGAACACAGGTGAGGACAACCGACTATATTTAGCACAAAACTACAGAGTTACTTGATAAAATAGAAAAACCATACTCCAATACTTCATTTGCAAAATGTCTATTAATTGTCTCAGACTACATTGTTTCTGTATTTCCATACTAATTGTTTTCTGTTCCCGTTCTCTTAACCTTCTTCTGGCAGACATTCTATTCATGACTAGCGTTATATGATACATATCTCGACATAAGTGGCACACACCACACTGTTCTCGCATCTTCCTGATCGCTGCACCACTGTCTTTGGTGATGTTCTTCACTCGCACTCATGATGCTCTTGAAACCATCTCGGCAGGTGTCTGGCATTTAGGCGCTTCTGCTTGTCTTCTCTCCGGGTCGTGTAAAGCAAACCACGTCTCTCCGTGACAATGTACGGTCCTTCCCACTTCAGGATTAGCTTTCCTGACCCTGGTCCCCCTTCTATGTTACCTTTCCGTTCTCTACACTTTACAAGTTCCCTCACTGCAAAAGGCTTCCACGTTCCTCTCTGTTGTCCTGCCTTGTTTGTGTCTGATATTTGTTTATTTTCCATGTTCCTTATTGCCCTCCTCCTCTCGTCCACTTTTGTTGTGGCCAGGTCTTATTATGCATCGAAGTTGGTGGCTGTCTACCATACATAAGCAGGAAAGGTGACTTCTTAGTTGTTCCTTGTATAGAGGCACTATGTGCCAGCAAAATCAATGGTAACTCTCCCAATTTTCTCCTTTAGAGGCTAACCATTCTTTTAACGTCCGGTTGTTTCTTTCTGTAAGCCCGTTCGTCTGAGGTTGATATGATGTGATTCGTATCCTTTTGATGCCAAACTGCTTAAGATGGGCTTTAAACTCGTCACTTTCAAAACAGGGACAAGTAGTCCGACATTACGTTTTATTTTCCTGGAACATGCCCGATACTGAAGTCGTACTCCTGCAGACGTGCTATCCATCCCGCCAACTTTCTACGTGGGTCTCCTGCTGTTTTCAGCTACTGCAGGGGTTCATGGTCAGTCTCTATGTGGAGTCATGTACCCAAAGACTAAGATTTCTCTCCTGCCCACACAATTGCTAATTATTCCTTTTCGATCGTTGAATACTTCTGTTTAGTGGGTGTGAGAACGCGACTCATGTATTCCGGTACTCTATTAGACTGACTCAAGATGACATCTATACCATGATCACTTGCATCTGTGGCCACTGTAAACGGTTTCTCGGGTTCATGCAGTCTGAGGGTCACCTGGCATTGTTCTTGATTCGGTCGGACGTTTGTTGGGCGGCCTCAGTCCATGTAAACTTTGTGTTGCTCAACAACTTATATAGGGATGCTGCTACGTCGCTGAAGTTCTTGACGACCCGACTGCAGAATGCCACCCTTCCCGGGAATTTTCTCAATTCCTTTTTTGAATTAGATACTGCAATGTTCTTTATGGTTAGGGTTTTCTCCGGCTGTGGTTCTATTTCCCCATTTCTCACTTTATGCCACAACAACGTGACGCTACTTTTCGCTCTCTGAGACTTGCCCCTATTAATTCAAAGTCCAAATTCTTCTTCAGTTCGCTTTAAGACCGCTTCCACATGCTTGGCGTGATGTTTCTGTATAGCTGTACACAGCTACGTCGTCGCCATACACATTGACGTTACCTAGATCCCTGAGCAGCAGCGTAGTTAATCTTCTGCACGTAAACGTAGCACACGACAACCCAATCGGCATTCGTCTAAATTGATACTGTTTATCACTTATAGTAAATGCTATCTTGTTTCGCTCGCTCTCTTTTATTGTAGGCAGTCGCCAATAACCTGACCGCAAATCCAGCACTGTGAACACCGTATCATTTAGCAGCCAATCTAATGTTTCCACTACTGTAGACATTGAACAAGGTTTCAGTTCTCTAAAATCGACACAAAATCCATACTTTTCATTCGGTTTCTTTACCAAGAGTTATACAGGCTATCCGCTTTCTCAGTTATACCTTCTTTCAACATCTGGACCTGTCGATTCACCTCATCCTCTAAATACGACTTGTTGCAAATATATTTATTCGATTGTTCTTTATTGGGATTTCGTGCTTTACTTTGTCACAAAATCCGTACGGCTCCGCCTCTAGTGAGCAGTTTCATGTACTTTGTGCAGAACTCGATAACGTTTGGTCCCTTCGTTGAAACGTCTGTTGCCACTCTTATCTTAGCCACTTTGCTACTTCCATGTATTGGGAATAAACCATACTTCGTGACCATCCTACAGCTTAAGTCAACTATTGCTTTTACTTCTCTTAGGAAATCTGCTCCTAATATTGGTCTCGATAGGCTTTTAGTCACTACGAACGAGAAATTTATCTCAGCACCATCCTCTTTTACGATGTTGTTAGGCATACCCATCACCTATGCCCTCCTACGGTCTAAACTGCTAATGTACATGACTTGAGTCTCTTACATTGTTCTTTGCCTATTAACGATACTGTTGCCCCTATATCGATCAAACACACTAAATCTCCTTTATTTATGTTCACTCCTGTGTAGACTGCCCCCTCTATCTACTAGTGCAACAAACCCCAGATTTCTAGGGTAGGAAGAACACACGTTATAACGTCTAAAATATCTGCGTCTTATTAGGCAGTTTGTCTTCCAATGTCCTGTCCCTCCACAAGCTTAACATCTATCATTCCTTTTATGATTCACTTGTATTTCCGCAACATCAAGCTGCAGCTCCTCAATCTTTTTGACATTATTTATCTCCTGCTTTGCGCACCCGACCGGAGCTCCTGTTCGGGTCACCGCCAGTTCACTGATATCCATAGGTCGTGCGGCGTTTACTAGTCTCAGCTACTTGGAAACGGTGGTCGGCACGTTCTTAATAAATTGCGACGCCAACAACTGTGCCTCCGACTCCTCATCCAGATTCGGCAGCGCGCGGTGCAACAACCTGGTAAGCTCCACAGCCAGCACCAGTGGGTCACAATCGATCGACAACTTCGCTAGCTGGAACTTCTGCAGCGCCTCTCCTCTGTCCACTGGGCTGTCGATCTCCGAGATCAACCGCTTTGTGACTGTCTCCGATGTCATTCTCCCGCCAGAACCGCCCAAGCTGTCATATACAACCTTCGTCCTGCCCCTTAGCAGCGTCCCCAACACCACCATCTTCGCCTTAGGCTCCTTCACTCCCATCAGCTCCACCATGGCTTCAAACTCCTTCATAAAGCTCAGCACATCTCCGTTCTCAAATTCATTCGGCAAGGAATCTTCATTCTTAGTGAAGGCAGCGATACCAAATGTAGTGAGCACAGGTGAGGACCGATTATATTTAGCACAAAACTACAGTTACTTGATAAAATAGAAAAACCATACTCCAATACTTCATTTGCAAAATGTCTATTAATTGTCTCAGACTACATTGTTTCTGTATTTCCATACTAATTGTTTTCTGTTCCCATTCTCTTAACCTTCTTCTGGCAGACATTCTATTCATGACTAGCGTTGCATACTACTGTTGAGGATGTTAGATTCCCAGAACTCACTTGGTAAATGTCTTATTTTTGTAAATTTATTTTAAAATTTTTGATTTATTGTTTTCGCGCCAAAAGCGCTCATTTCTACCTTCATGTCATATTTCCTACTTGGAAGGATCTTAAACGCTATTAGTTCGTTGTATTTTTTGGTATGCTATTTTGTAACGCATCCCAAGGACAATCTTATGCTGTATATATACTTTGATTTGTGCCTGTTTTTAATGCTCGTGCTTCTGACTGCTTGTGGAATATATTTCCCTTTTTTCGAACTTAGGCTTTTTCCTCTAGTTAGTGAGGCTGAGACGCGACGCGTCAGAATAGCTGGCTTATCTGTCATTGTATCAGTCTTCGTTCCGTTCTCAGATTAGGTGAACTCGTAATCGCTTCAAACATAGCAACTACATACGTTGACATAAGTAGCACACACTACAGCAACAGTAGATGTACTTCTGAATGATTACTATATCTTGACAAATTTTAAAGATATTATATAATCTTGACTAGTCATTGTGTCTATTGAGCATATCAGTTCAGCACAATATTGGATGGGATATTTGCACACAATTCTAATTTAGTCATTCCCACAGGAACATTCTACTGAAAAGAACATATATTAAATACCATTTAAACTGTCTGACGAAGCCCTAATTAGTCAATACGACTTGATTACACTATCTAGATCGAAAATAATGAAATTATGACCAGTAAATTACATTTTCTATTTCACCTTTTACTATATAAAACATAACAACTGAAATATACAAGTAATTATTGGTTAAACACTTTAATAGGTTGATTAATAAAACAAAGTTTGTTTTATTGAAAATCAATACTTGTTGAATAACTTTTTATATGTCAGCAATGTGCATGCAAAATAATATATCCCTATATTTAGACTGGTTTGTAGTCTAATTTTGTTTCTAATTTCTTAGCATCGGCTATTTTTCGTACTGCTTTCATAAAGTCCTCTTCTATTGTATAATCTCGCTCTGCACGTATAGCAAACATACCTATATTGACCAAAAAAAAGAAGGTTAAATAACATTTGAGAAATAAAAGCTCTGGTACTATGTTAGACTGACACAATTGAAAATTATTTTTTTTTTAAAAGTAAGGAATTGTTGAGCTAATCAATTAAACTCAACAATAGATACGCGATATAGCATTCGAAGACAGTGGAGAACAGGATTTTGAAATATGTCATTATAAGCAAAACGAGAGATGGGATAAGTACAGTGTACACTTGTTAGTGACGTATTATTTGTCTGAGAGTTTGAAGTTTGTAGTGGGTATCTGAACTTTCTCCAAACATTTTTCCCCATATAGTGGCAATTAGAATCTACAGGATTAAATTATGGAGAATAACCTCAACTCTAGTTATTGTGACGGGTGATGTCCGAAAACTGATACTAATACACGATGTGCTACGCGCTAATCCTACAACTGACTACTTGAGCGAGAAAGTATGTTGGGCGACCGAATAAAATGCACGAATATATATAATTTGTAAATCGTATGCAATCACATCTATTGGAAATTTCATGCAATTGGTTCCCTTTATGAATTTAAATAAAGCAAGAACAAATATTGGTGCAGAATAGTATGAATCCGTAATATTTCGACGTTTCTCGTCAGCTGCTTTGAATGTGTCCCCTTACTAAATATAGGGTGAATACGAATCCTACATGACATAAGCGCTGAAGATTTTTCTCATAATGATGATGAAAGCTTCGCAATTAAATCAAAAGCAACCATCTGGACTGCAACTGTTCTTCATCAATTCAAGATGAATACGAATCGAAATCCTGTTAAATTTGCCTTATTCAGTTGCTAATACATAAGGTTTTGTTTTATTCATACTTTACTAAATACTATAATAAATCAGCTCTAATGATCCTACTAAATAACAATTAGTATATTCAAAAACTGTTAAGAAAGGTAAGCGACAGAATAATTACTATAACACTTACCAGCTTCTGTGCAAACGTTACGTAGATCAGCTCCATTGAATCCATCAGATAGTTTAACAACTGCTTCCCAATCTACAAAATAAATTAAGTTAATAGTTGGTAAACAAACAAAATATTTAAATTCATATCATACAATATTATTGTAGATGTAATGTGATTGCACACGTTTTTACAATACACAAATTATGTCATATTCAATTAGATAAAATATGAGAATCTTGAAAGTACTAACTTATTTCACAAATAAAGATATTTAGATGTTGAATAGTTGATCATTGCCTCAAATAAAGTATATAAAAACAGATTATCATTAGATGGTGGTTGGAGGTAGTCGACAAGAAACCCTGGACTCGGGTTTCGTGCTACTTGGCACTCGTCAGCAAGGTGTACCTGTAATCATGAGGAAACTGGTGCTCCCTGGCGGACTCGACGCCGTGTCACCCAGCTTCACAGTCGGAGACGTTACCACTGAGCTATCCGGTCGCGGATTATCATTATGAATTGGGAAAATGACTAGATTGCTTGCGAGAGAGAGAATATGATAAGTTTAAAATATATTATTAATCTGGTACAAAGCCATTAACATCTATATTATACTTTTCATAGTCATACAATACACTCTACTAACTGAATAAAACTTAAATTGATTTCTTGTTTATACTTGCACTATATTTCTGCACTACTTCCTATTTCTAATTTTAGAATATGAGTATCCTTATTTTGTTTTTCGATAATATTTTCTGTTTTTAAGACTAAATCGAGGCAATCCGCACAGGAAGCACATATGCGAACATGAGATCGATCAATTACAGTCCTAAATAACACTGGGAAGATACAAGTAAAACAACACCAAGTGAATTTAAACTCCAACTCATTGTATAAGCAAGTGGCTATAAGGACTCAGTAGCTAAGTGGATAACGCGATGGCGTTCGAAGTGAACGGTAATGGGTTCGAACCCAGGAGTGAACATCAACTTTGGGATGCGGGTACATCCAGCCGACGAGTCCCAAATGGGACGAAACGCATGTCCTCTATTCCATTGCTAGCCACTACCTTTTTTTGTTTTTCGTTTTCATGATGCACATTCTAGTACTCTCTATTCGATGTTTATGTGATGCTGTGTGAAATGGACGTCATATTATTATTTTTTAATTTGGTTTCGTTTTTATTTAAAGATTTATGCAGTAAAGTTAGATTCGCGTAAAACAGGTATGGAGAATAACCTTGGACTAGAAGTTTAAATTGAGTTAGTAAATCAGTAACTGTGTGAGCGAGAAAGATAATGATTGGTTGTTTGCTTAGTCAGACTTGTAAATGGTTTGACAGGCGTTAGATGAGTTATATATTCAGTTGTCAGTTTTTTGGTGTGGAAATATACTTACGTACTAGTTAGGCTAATCACGTGTTCTTGATCTGAGTTGTGTTGAAGTCCTGTAGAATAGACACTGGGAAGGAATCTAATGTAGATATTCGTGTAGACGTAGAAAACCGAGCGTTATAACAGTAACTAATCTTCTGTGTCTTTGAGTGTTATCTACACGTATTAGCTAATCAGACTTGGTTAAATTAAAGCAAAATTGATGACACTAATTGATATCAATGGACCACCAGAACGTACTATAATAATAAACTAACTTCAATAGGTTAGGTATTTCACTTACAATTATCATGTCTCGAGGTTAAACTCAGTGATATTTGAATGGCAGTCAAAAAGTACCATGTTAATACTCCTGGAGTAATACCCATTGTGAAATTTGTATATCCTAACTATACTATTTATAATTAACTGGTATTGACAAATAGAGAATTAACATAAACAATACAAGAACGAGAAATCAGGAAAATGACACTTTACCTATTTCACCATGTTTGGCTATTGGAGCTGCATGTATCTTTAGTACATCCATTCGAGCTTGTTCATTAGGCAGAGGAATTTCTAAGAAAATAAATTATGACAAAGGATAGAAGCTTACCAATTTTACGATCTAAACGTCCAGGTCTAAGTAGAGCCGGGTCAAGGGTATCCGGACGATTAGTTGCCATGATCATTTTAACCTGTGATCGTAAATGAAATAGAATTGCACAATTAAGTAAAGCAGTATACCGAATTCAGTTAGATCGTAGTGATAGTCGACATTTTGTAATACATCTTTATGCTTAACATTACAGTATTTTAGTCGAAGTTAGTAACTATAACATATCCTTAGTCAATCAACAACAGACTATGAAACTGACAAGAGATTTAAAACTCAAACAATATTGCGGCTTTTTAAGTTATAAATACTTCTTACTGATATGTGCTAAAGAGCATGAAATTCATGTCTAAGAAATTATGATAAAGGATTTAACATATGTAGGTGACTTTTGTTTTTACTCCAGTATGATGAAAGTGAGAATATGTGACCGGTGAATTTTAACTACGCCGAGGCCCCGAATGCCCTGGTACGGCCGAGAGTGGGGAGAGTCCGCTCTCCCTCTCGAAATACTCTCACACGGCCACGCGTATACAGTCTCTGTCAGGGAAGTCCTACTCATTGCCTTCTCGTGGCATTACTGTTGTTTACGAAATTGAGAGGACGAAAAGCGAATGTCCGGCGCTTTAACCGGATCCCAACCTAATGGTGAACATGGGCTCCAGTATCCTGCAGGAACAAATGGTGTATGAACCAATCGTTTATCACCGGCTTCCATGGGACTGCATCTCCTTACGATGCTCCACTGCCTTGTGGATCAGACCTTCAGGTCGAAGGCTCGAGGTGTGGCCCCCTAAGAAAACCACCTGCTTCGGTTTGGGCACCCGAGCAGTATCACAGCCCACATGCATATGATGAACTTTCTATATCTATGGAAACTACTTTTCTCGCTTCGAAAAACAATCAAATGATTCAAATTATTATCATTACTATTATTGTCATTATTATTATTATTTTCCACATTATTCAACCTCTTTTATACTTATACAGCGGCTCGTCTTTGGTGGAAATTCGACTGTATCTAAACGTTCTCGAGTCACTGTCCGGTTGAAAATTGTATGTTTCCACTGAATATGAGTACTGAAGCAGTTTTACTGAAATCACGTGCACCATTCAAACTGGCTGCCTTCAACGTTCGCACACTTATGCAGGTTGGACAACAGGTAGGGCTGGCTATGTCTTTGGAAAGTCTTTACATCGACGTATAGTGAAAGCCAGAGCGGCTTATGCCAATCTGGGCCATCTTTGGCGCCTTCGTGATGTTAGTCTGGCTGTGAAAGGTCGGATCTACAACGCGTCGGTGAGAGCAGTCTTGCTCTATGCTTGTGAAACCTGGCCTCTCCGAGTTGAGAACGTTAGACGACTCTCTGTGTTCGATCATCGCTGTCTCCGAAGGATTGCTGACATCCAGTGGCAATACCATGTCAGTAATGCGAAGGTTCGGCATCGTGTGTTTGAGCACAGAGATGATAATGCAATCGATGTCACCATCTTGAAACACCGACTTCGGTGGCTTGGACATGTTCTCCGAATGTCGTCCCAGAGAATTCCACGTCGTGCATTGTTTGCCGACTCTGGGACTGGTTGGAAGAAGCGGAGAGGTGGTCAGTGCATGACATGGTGTCGTAGCATGAAAGAAAGCTGTAAAGGGCTGGCTTGTGTTGGTCCTTCACGACTCCCCGGCTGGGGTCCGAGAGATGGTGCAACACAGTGGCTAGAGACGTTATCAGATATGGCTCAGAATAGAAGCCAGTGGCGATCCTGCTGTAACCTTCTTTTACTTTCTTCCTAAAAAGTGGTTGTGTCTCCCTTACCTGAAAGATTTCTTCTGATTGTACCTTGCGTTTCCTGATTACTAGCACATTACCTTACACCAATCTCTTCGTTATTGTTCTCTCTTTTTTTTGTTGCGCTCCTTAGCTTTTTTTCTTCTTTCTTTGTATTCCTCTCGAATTTCAATTGTTTTTGTGTGGCGCATACATATTGGCGCTCTCTTGTACCAATATTTATGTGTTCAAATAAATAAATAAACTATGCCGAGAGCGAAACAAGTATTGTGGTGAACGCATAAGTCAAGTGTGGAAGATTAATTTATTTTCTTAATGCACAGTCACAGTGGTTTAGCAAAATGTGAAAATCATACAACAAATACATCATTTGCATATCCCTGAATTGTCTCTCACAAACTTCATTGTTCCTTCACTACTGTTGTTATCTTGATTGCTCTCAGTTTCCTTCTCTTTTCGCTTCATTTCAATCTTCCCAACCTTTTGCTCGTAGACATTCTACTTCAGACTGGTATTACATACTGCTTATATCTGTAAACATAACTAGCATACACCACAGTATGACCTATGGCAATATTGAGAATTGACTGCAGTTTGAAATGTACACCATTAGATGTTAACTCGGTCGCCTAGCTGTAACGCGCTTTCCATAAGCTTCTGGGTTTAATTACTGACAAGTTAGCGAGTCAACAATGCTGAGGAGTTTCATGAGAAGATAAAACAGCCGTTCACTGCCCTTTTACTTTTAATGGTAAACCAAATTCCGTAGGAAGTCAATGTCATTTTAAAGTTGGTCAAAGGATTTTTTCGGTAATTCATGAAGAATTCAATTAAGAATACTTACTCTAGGAAATAATAACATTTAACCCACCCTTAAGAACAATGCATATTTACCAGTGAATACAACGATTTTAACATAAACTGATAAAAAGTAACCTTGTAATATATACTTTAGAAAATAAATTAGAGATGAACAGCTTTTTAGAAACAGAAAATATCAATAGTTACCTGACCAAGTGCATCAAAACCATCCATCTGATTTAATAATTCCATTAAAGTACGTTGAATTTCACGATCAGCACTTGTACCTTCAGTGAAACGACGACCGCCGATTGCATCAATCTCATCCATAAAAATAATGCAGGGTTGATGATCTCGTGCATAATTGAACATTTCTCGAATAAGACGAGCTGACTCACCAATATACTTGTCAACAATACCACTGGATACAACCTGTGTACGATTTAATTTTAAAAACGAAGTTTCCGTTAGATTACTTGTGAATCTATTGTGTAGGAAATCTTATGAATTAGCTGGATTATAAAAAAAACACAGTGACAACGGGAAAGCGCACGGTCTTATGAATAGCTCTCTAACTAAGCTCTGAGCTATTGGAAAAACGAAGTTTTATTGCAGCTCTAGTCGAAGAATTTGTATATAGTAGAAAAAGTGTGGCTATTAACCGGGAATTTGGTGGCAACCTTGAGAACGACCCATCAAGAATTTGAGACTTGAGATACTGAAGGCAGGCAAAAATTTAAAAATAAAGAATTTAAGAATTTTTAGGATGGTTGTGTTCGAATTTCACGGAAATATTGTATTTCCCGACAGAAGAGTAATGACAGAACTTGGTGGATAGATCCTAATTTCACTGGCTTGAGTGACAAATGATAATTGCACTTTTATGTGTAACATTCTGAATATAAGCATGGCATTTTGTTGGAAAAAATTATCCTGCAGACAAGCTCTATTGTCTTGGTAAGTTTATTTGGAAGCTTAATGTTAATAATGTTGTCTTATAAGTAGGTATTAACTGATCAAGTCGTATTATTCCATATTATCTACTGCTTAGTACTGTATTAATCATTTAAATTATCTGAAACGAGTTCACAAATTTGAAAACCTTCATATAAGACATTCAGCTGTAGGATGTTATAAAATGAAATGATTTGTATTTATAATTTTATTTATTTATTTAAACACACAAACACCGGTACAAGGAGACACCAAACAGATATGCGTCACAGAAACCAATTGATTTGTGTGAGGGCTGGGATACTGCCTTGGGTGCACGAACCGAAGCACGTATTCTTAAAGGGCCACAACCCGAGCATTTGACTTGGAGGCCTAATCTACAAGGCAGTAGAGCAACGTAAGGTGATGCAGTTTCATGGTAGCCGGTGACCAACAATAGGTTCGTACGTCATTTGTTCCCTCAGGATCCTGGAGCCCATGTACATCATTGGTTTGGAATTATGACTTTCTAACTCCCCTATGTGGATCCTCCATATCCACCAACCCGGCTGAAGCACCGGACACTCACTTTCCGTCCTCTCAATTTCGTAAGCACTCCTGCCACGAGAAGGTGGTGAGTAGGAATTCCCTGGCAGTGGTTGTATGCACATGTGAGAGCATTTCGAGAAGGAGAGCTGACTTTTCCCAATATCCGCCGTACTAGGGCATTTGGAGGCGGAATTTTTACTCTTATAAGTTGGTCATTCGTCAAAATTTAATAGCTCAACCCAAAAAAGGTTACCCTTAAATATATATGGCACAAAATCATAATACGTCCTGTATGTTCTATAATGCTAAACTATCGCCAGAGATCCTTTGACCTAGATTTTGAGCTTATTTACACTTATAAATAGATAACTTATAACAAGTGTACATCATACTTTAATTAAACTAACGAGAGGATAACAAGGGAGTAAACAATAATCATATAAATATTGATGAAAAACCAAAAGAAACGTATTAAACTGGGGGTAATTTTATTTTTAGAATTGAATGAAAGATGACTGAGTGCATCTGTGGTAGTGTAATACAATCATGACGATATCAAATATAGATAACGATGGCTAACTAATTAATTACTGCCGGTGCGGAATCTCGACTACCGTAGTAAGTTGGACAGAAACTAAGAGCGGCCAACGTAAGAAACGACACTCATTTATGAAGTCAGTGATGGAAACTAAATGGTTGGATTTCTTATGATTATAGTTACCAATAGTTGGAGACATTGAACAGCTTGATCAAACTCGACCGGAATGATGCAAATATATGCATTCACACCTTATTTAGCATCAGATTCTAAGCTTCAAAATTGTTCTGTGCTTTTTATTCCGGGAATTCATTTTTTCGCAAATTATATTATGTGTAATCTTATTCACTATCATTGATACTTATAATGCCTCAGTATTTACTTTTCCATCTTATTTCGCAGTGCTGATGTGTGATAAAGTGGGCTGAGGAAGATTTGTGCTAGGTCCGATGCTGATTAAGACTGGCTGATCAGTTATAATTAGGTTACCACAATTCCAGACGAAATAAAACGTCTCTATCGACAGAATATAATTACATGAGCTAACATTTGTATTATACCAACATAATTGTTTATGTTACTAGATAACCTAAAAGTCGAACTACGTCAAAACCATTGTCTCTGTAATCATAACTTTACGCAACTTTTTTTAATATCAATAACGTTCTGAGTCATCAATACTCAGTGACTGAGCAACAATGCCAGAATGTTTGGGATGCGTTTCTCGACCTCTAAATGCAAGTTGTTGCTTCAGGACTGGTCTGCGTCAACGCCTGAACTAAGAATAGGGAGTGAAGTAGTCAAACGCGTTGAAAACTCCACTTTTCTTGGAAGTATGATCAGCCCTAATGGGTTGGTGTCTGAAGAAATCTCAGCACGGATTCGAAAATCTCATTTGGCTTTTGCCAACTTACGTCACCTATGGCGAAGACGAGATATTCGTCTGCCAGTTAAGGGACGAGTATACTGCGCGGCAGTTCGTTCTGTTTTACTTTATGGCTGCGAAACGTGGTCATTAAGAGTAGAAGATATTTGTAAGCTACTAGTATTTGACCACAGATACCTAAGAAATAATGCTCACATCTGCTGGAATCACCGGGTAAGTAATAGTGAGGTTAGACAGGATATTAGGGAATGATGGTAAATCAGTCGATGAGGTTGTGAATTTTCGTCGACTAAGATGGATGGACCACGTGTTGCGTATGCCCGAACACCGACTACCACGACGTGCAATGCTAACCGGTGTTGGGCATCAGTCCACAGAGTCACTAACTTTTGGTATGAGCTGTGTTGATAGATGCAGACTACTTAGTTTGGGGTCCGCGCGACCATCGTAACCAATGGTTGGAGACTCTGGGTGACATGGCTCAGAATCGATCACAATGACGTCGGTGTATACACTCTCTGTCTTCCCTTAAACTATGAGATTAAAATCGCTTCATATCTTTCTAAGTACTAATTCTTTCTTCCTGTACTATGTCCTTACATTCGATCTTTCTTTTATATATTACCACCACTGAATTAACTACTATGAATCCGGTGTTCATCTTGTTGTGCTAATGTGGTATGACAACTTGGATCAATGCACATATGTGGCTGTTCCTACGTTGTAGCTGACTGATACTCAGTGACCCAACTTTAATTGCAGTGAAGTGATTTTGTTCTGTATCTATAGTTTTAATTCAGTCATCATTTAAAGAGGAGTAACTTAAAATAAATTATTAATAGTAATAATAGATTCAGTTAACTCCATGTGATTACAGTTCGAATTGATTGTAGTGACATAACTGGTATTAATCATAGTACACAGTGCAAACCAATAGTAGAGAATCCAAAATACCTTTAGAAAGTTAACATCAAGTTGTGATGCTACAGCACGTGCTAGAAGAGTTTTCCCAGTCCCCGGTGGACCATAAAGAAGGCATCCTTTGGGAGGGGTTATACCAACTCTATGGAACAATTCTGGATTCATAAGCGGGAGTTCAATTACTTCTCTGAGTTCACGAATTTGATCAGCCAGACCACCAACGGAAGCATAAGATACAGAACCTGGGTCTTCTGCAGACATATTATGGACTAGTGGGTCGACTTCGCGTGGTAATTGGCGCATAATTGTCAATGTGGTCATGTCCAATGCAACTCTAGTGCCTGGCTTTAATTTACTGCTTTGTAAACTGCGTCGACAGCCAACAACATATCGCGGCCCATTACTAGCTTTAACAATGACTAGAAAACAAAGATAAACCTCTATTAATAGAATGCATCCGACAAAGTCGAAAATGGCATGAATGTTTAGTGCAACAATATAGTACTGTGAAGTAAGCTATTAAAGTACACTTACCTTTAAAATAACTCCTACTACTCCATTTTGATAATGATTTATGCCTCTGACATTTAACAAGGTTATCGGTGTGAATCCCACATCATTCAATGAAAACTGAGTTACCAGGCTTCTAGATAAAAATAGTGCGTAACACAGAGCCTGAATTTTCACAAGGTCGCATTAAACTTTTTAAATCTATTCGAGACTAGTTTCCAACCCTAAAAAGCTATGATGGACTGAGATTTACATTTGCCAAATTGACTATATTTCGCAGTACTTCTGATGGAACTGATAGACGTATACCAGTTCCCTATATGAGAAGAAATCAGCTTACACGTGCAAGCAACGATAGAAATATCAATTGATTATTTTAAAAATATCGGTCGAATTATGTTGGTTAAAATGGTTAGTTTGTAAACCAAGGGAACTGGTTACTGTCAGAATAAAAAAACAAGTAGTATTGAGACACAATTCAAGGGGTCATACTGGCGACTGTAGAATGCGACTGGTGGAATGTGATAATAGTGAGGTGTCCCTATCGGGCGATAACTACTTCTGTCCATGTTGACTGAGCAATGTGGGAGGTTAGAAAAACACTATTCCAAGACTAGAATCCTTTTTCCTATATAAATTCAAGTTGTGAACCCTAAAACTACCACCATTTCAAGAATTACAGCGCATGATAACCTCAGATAGATATACTTTGGGCTTTGAGGTCATGTACGTTTTTTATTCACCATCCAGGATACAAGCTTCTACAATGCGATTAGTTGTAAAGGATTAGTTTCGTGCGTACTTCTAAAAGCGCGAATGTAACTCTAGCTATTTATCAGCCCTTCACATTTTCCTCTGCTCTTAGTAACAATATGATCACCAGTAGTCTTGAAAATCCGATTTGTTTTACAATTGTCATTTATTATTCGAACCCATGAAATACCAATTTTGGTGTACTGAAATTGCACTGTAAATTGTATATTGGAGCTTTTAATGTTCGGATGCCATATGCGCGATTTGTCCCCTCAGGATACTGGAGCCCATGTGCAACATTGGTTTGGAATTAGGGTTTTCCAACTCCCCTAGGTAGACTCTCCGTGTTCACCAACCTGGTTAAAGCGCCGGACATTCACTTTTCGTCCTCTCAATTTCGTAAACAACATCCCCGCCACGAGAAGGCAATGAGTAGGACTTCCCTGACAGAGGCTATATACGCGTGGCCATATAAGAGCATTTGGAGAGGGAGAGCGGACTCTCCCCACTCTCGGCCGTACCAAGGCATTTGGGGGCCATCATTTTTGCAGAAAACATTAGCACATACTTAAGAAAGAAGTAGACTATTGAGAGTTATTCTCCTTATGCTAACAGTTTGTCTTTTTGATAAAGAATATGGCCATTTACTTAACCTGATGGCCATTGTGATGCATTGAAGCAATTCATTTCGAAGCTTAGAAATTTAGTAGATAGTTATCATTGGCTCTAATAATTAGTACACTAGTAACACATGTTAGTTGCCACAGAGCATTAAAGTTGATTCCCATATAAAGCACTGTGGCAATAAAAGTATTATAAAACATTATGAATTAAATGATCATATGGTACAAGCAAAAGCAACGAATATTAAAGGACACAAGCCAACTGGGAACACAACCATGGTATGTCTCACCTTCTAAAAGTACGTCTTGCCACTTAGGGAGAACAAAACAGAAAGTGTAGGTAAGACCACCGGTAGCTTTTATTTTGGGCTATGGTCAGGGTTCTATAGTATTCATGGGTCTATGCAAGGTTACATGTACCTCCAACTGTAAACCTATCAGAACTATCATTCACTAAAACCTCATACGTCACAAACTGACATCGTTTCTTTCACTCAGTCGAAGAATAGTTCATGGAACGCAACCCACTAGAGGAATGTGTAAAAATGGTCTCAAGTTAAATGGAAATGGTGTTAAAAGACAGTAAAGCTTGTAAATTCGGACATGCAAATATTTCTGAATCTTACAATTACTTACATAGCAGTGGAACCAATAATTGGCAGATAACCATCTGAAGCAGGAACAGCAAACTCTTAGTTATGGGAGATTGTGTTCGACAAATCCGATGCAGAGATGCTCGTACAAATGCTCATATAAATATTCAGAATCAGGGAATCTTTTTGGAATTCATCATCGATGATGACTTCAACCATATTTTGTCTTTTAAAATGTTGATTATGTAGCATATTAATAAATGCCGATTGTCGACTGACTGGGTATTACTTGGGTAACGCTACTCTACAGCAAGACAATATCACTCGTATGCTGACGGCTGGGGTAGTTCCCTAGGTGACATGACCAAACCATCGCACTGTTCTGCGACGGCTTTCACTGTTATCAAAGGAGAGAAATGGTGTGCACACACTCCTTTAGTCATATTGCTGATTTGGGAAGACGAAGAGGTGGTTGTGTAACGGTGTTTACCTTGAGGAGTTTATCCATTGAGCTTCAAAGTGCTTTGAGCACATTTCTGTCTGACAGACAGCTTGGAAGCACTGTCATGTCTAAAACCGATTATGATACTACAAAAATACATATTACGACTAGCCACACTATTTTTCAACGTTTGGAAATGTATTATTATAGAAAACAGTCTGAATCGTGATGACAAACGAAACATGAAAATGATTCCCAACCTCCCAGTTTTGGGGAATTTTCGGGGTTTTCCCAAAATCTAATGACCGTTTTCCCCAAAAAACTGAGGTTTTTGTGTCACTCCTCCAGAATTTTTTACAGCGGCTCCCACGAAATTTCCCCAAAATAGGGAGATTGAGTTTAGCAGCTATATAGAGCAGAAAGCAACTTACAGTGATCATCAGTCAGCTGCTTCAAAACATCACCTACTATCTTCAAACACGGATTAAATAGAAAACAAGATAAAATACCTGACCAACACTTTGGAGCGCTTTCAAATCATTCTCTGCTTTGTCGTACTCTTTCGAAATCGCTTTGGATTTTTCTCGAGCTAGTTTATGAGTGATAACGGGTGGAATTATTACCTTCCTTAAGCCTTGCATCTATTCCTCTATGTTCCACAAGTTTACGTCTGTAGTAACTTAGTGCTTTCTCTCTAGCACTTTCTCCCGGAACAGCAACAGTCATGACTAATCTGCTGTAGCACACTTGTTAAGTTAGTTCCAATATCCGATAACTGAAGATTCAAACATCAAACTTAGCTTGGCACGACCGGCCACCTGTTACAAATATTTTTAAATGGTTCAAATGGTTCTGGATGGAATATAAGTAGCTTTCGCTTAACGGGCTTCCGTATTTAGGAGCAGTGGATCACCGATGTCACCAGGTAAGAACCTAGGTATATTAGTGATAAAAGAGAAAAAAGAATTATTAATAATAGTTGGATATGTCCTTCGTCCATAAGAATATTTCAAGGTTTATTTTAAAGGACTCTTAGGAAGTCTCTTGGGCTAGCTCAGCCGGCAGCGAATCCCAACATTCCAGTTTCAGTGTGGCGGAAAATAAATTTCCAAAATCAATAGCCCTATAAGTCTTCGACATTCGATGCTGATCACATTCATTTTAATGGACTGACCTAGCTGAAGGCAGTCAGTCATGCGAACGCACCAGATCACGAATGAGAACGCCGTGCTCAACATCCCCTGCAATCGCTAGCCAGATTAGATTAGTAGATCCTCGATATATTGATAGCCTATCAAATCTATCTTCGGACCTCCTCGCTTCTGTCTTTTGATTTCACTTGGTGGGTACGCTCCATATTAGAAGGTGTTACTGGTTAAAGCGTTGTCGAGCTCCAAATACCTGTGGCATCTTCACCAGTTTCAGTTTGGAAAGGACAGGTTGCTTGATGGTCTGTGATAGTCCTGGAAATGATGGTCTCTCAGTTGTTGTAGCCTTCTTTTGAAAGAGTCGAGGCACGGATCCCCAACCACGTGCTGAGCTAATGAACCTCGCCCGTTGATGTTTCGATTGGGAATTCGATAGTCAGTTGACAAATAATTTGTTCTGGGCTTGTGAACTTTTTTGTAGTGTCCTCGTAAATTCTGTTTTAGAAAAAAAATAAAGGCATATCAGGTTTAAATTTATCGCTAAGCAATTTGAAAATTGTCATCAAGTCTCCGAGACCAACAGACTGGATTCCGTAAGGATCAATTGTGTAAAGACCAAATCGCAAGTTTACGGACCATAGAGGAACAATCGATTGAATAGAATTCATCACTCTACATCAGCTTCATTGACTACGAAAAAGCACTTGATAGCGTGGACAGGACAACACTATAGAAGCTACTTCGATACTACGGCGTGCCTCAGAAGATAGTCAATATCATACGGAATTCCTATGATGGATTAAACTGCAAAATTGTGCATGGAGGACAGTTGACAAAGTCGTTCGAGGTAAAGACTGGTGTCAGGCAAGGTTGCTTACTCTCACCCTTTCTCTTTCTCCTGGTGATCGACTGGATCATGAAGACGTCAACATGTGAGTGTGGGCATGGGATACAGTGGACAGCTAGGATGCAGCTGGACGATTTAGACTTAGCAGATCGTCTAGATCTCCTATATACCACGCAACAACAAATGCAGAAGATGACCGGTGTAGCAGAAGCCTCAGTAGCAGTAGGTCTCAACATACACAAAGGGAGAAGCAAGATTCTTCGATACAATACAGCATAAAACAATCGAATCGCACTTTGTGGAGAAGATTTAGAAGATGTAAAAACCTGTACATATCTGGGCAGCATGATTGATGAACATGGTGGATCTGATGCAGCTGTGAAAGCGCGGATCGGCAAACCAAGAGCAGCATATTTACAACTGAAGAACATCTGGAACTCAAAACAACTCTCTGTCAAATAATACCAAGATCAGAACTTTCAGTACGAATTTGAAGACGGTTCTACTGTATGGGGTGGAAACCTGGAGAAATACGAAAGCAATCATCCAGAAGATATAAGTGCTTATTAACATCTGTCTACGCAAAATACTTCGGATCCATTGGCTAGACACTACTGACAACAACCTACTATGGGAGAGAATAAACCAGATCTCACCGGAGGAAGAGACCAGGAAGAAGCGCTGGAAGTGGATAGGACACACACTGAGGAAAGCACCCGACTGCGTCACAAGGCAACCCCTCACATGGAATCCTCAAGGCTAAATAAAGAAGAGGAGGAAGACCAAAGAACGCACTACGTCGAGAAATGGAGACAGACATGAGAAGAATGAACAATAATTGGACAGAACTGGACAAGAAGTTCCGAGACAGAGTGGGTTGGAGAACGCTGATCGGCGCCTATTCTCCATTGGGAGCAACAGGCTTAAGTAAGCAGGTAGGCAAGTAAGTAATCAAGTCGCCTCTAGTTCTCCGATATGACAACATGAATATATTTAGCTTGGCCAGTCGAGCATCATACATGAGCTTCGCAATTCCAGGCATCAGCTTAGTTTCATACACATAGTTCTCTTTATCATTTTGAAAAGAGCTTAGTTGCTGTTCTCTGAGCCTTTTCCAAAAGCTCACTGTCTTTTTTTAAGAAGGGACTAGCCGCCCAAGTAGTAGATGTGTAGAATTATGGTCTACTATGATATTAGTACTGCTCTAATAATAGACCTAATCCTAAATTTGTAGATTTGTCATGATATAACTGCCAAATCTATAAGATCTTACGTGGAAGTCACACCATCGACTACACCAACTCACTGTATCATATCAATTACCAATACATGATGTAGAACAAGGTTAGGCTAGAGGAAGAACAATATATTTAATATGAATAGAAGATATAAGGTAACATTCAGCAGAGGCCACGCCTGCATGGCCGAGCCATGCCACTCGATCAACTCCAGTCCATTCAATTCATTGTTCGCGCCTTCTCCATTGTTAGGTATTTCTCCGCGTTAAATATTAAATATCTATTTTCTGAGTAGTCTCGTGTTCACAGCTTTGTGGATTGTGTGGCTATTTGTTATATCCGAGTGGAGATTAAATTACAGGTAACTTCCGAGGACTATTCATGGACTAAAAAAAAAAATATTCTTATTGTATAACTACTCAACGATTACACTATGCATATTTATATCCCTCTTATGACAAGTTTTATTTTGGCCTATAATTTATTATTGTACGATTTACGGTTCTTAAGTTATGTTCAGTTTATTAACTACTGCCTCCCACATTCACAGCCACTTTTTGGGCTTATTTATGTACAAATATTATTTCCTATTTTATGGTACGTTGCGGTCTGTGTGATTGATATATAAACCAAGTATGCCTGAAATAAACGATCTGCTCTGATTCGGAAGCTGGTATCTTGTTCTGGACTCAAGTGGAAGGGCTCGTAGGACATAGGACCAATAAGGACACTAAACTGCCCACACCGGTTGAACGTCATTGGTTGGCCTAGTGTGAAGATTCGTATAAGTCGTATCCGGATTGGTAGATAAATCGTGTGATAGAAAAACAGACACCCAAGGTTATAACAATTGGCGACGGGGATTTTGGCAACAAAGAAATAATAATAATACAAGTGGTGACTCAGATTTTGGAAATAAATTAGCTGTATAATTGCCGGTGATTTTTGGAGCTAATATTATTGGCAAAAAAAAATGTCGATTTCTTTCGAACAGTTGCGGTTAATATTACAGCACCAGCAGAAGATGTTTGCCTTGCAACAACAGCTATTTGTAACAGTTTTGGGCAGACTTTGCATTCAAGCAGAAAATAAGAAATCTATATATCATGCAGATAATGGTGCAGTAATGGACATTTCAGAAGCATATCCTGTGCAGGATTCAAATCCCTCTATACCAGAAGGAAAACGTAATATTGGTAACGTGTCCAGCTCAGAGCAGGAAAATATTGTGCTAAATGCACATGAAGTTGTGACAATACCAGATGATCAGGAGCCAGATCCTGTAGATGATGCCCAGAGTCCAGAATCAAATGAAACACTACTGGTACTGTCTAGCTGCGAAAATAAACGTCAGCTCGAACAAAATTGTGGTCCACGTGCTACTAGTCGAGAAAGCTATGGTGACTCGTATTCAGAAAATAACTGGAGCAACACGATGAACCAAATTGTACCAGATGTTACTCAAAATCACCGGAAGACAGAATTTTATATTGAGTCAACTTATCCCATTTCTAATGACAGTGTGCCAGATATTGATTCTCAGAATAATGCATATGATTTTGATGAAACTTCTTATAACAATGAGGGAAATATGTCAGCTGAGTCGAATGATGGCCAAAAATCTAATTTAATTCTGTTAGACGTTGACTTTCTTAATGACTCGTTATCTGCTAACGAGATTCATAATGAATTTGAAAATAATGAACTCAGATCAAAGGTCGTTCATCATCATCTAGTCATTTTTAGTGGCTTCTCCAGTCAATACGAGAAACATGGTTTAAATAAAGTCCTACTAGTTGTATTTTGGAGCCATAAGGACCCAACATTATTTCGAGGAGGAGGAGAATGTTGAGGAATTTAAAGTCACATATGATTCTTTTTTTTAATCAGAATCTAAAGTTGGAATTTTCAAAAAAAAAGGGGGAGGTGTTATATCCGAGTGGAGATTAAATTACAGGTAACTTCCGAGGACTATTCATGGACTAATATTCTATAAATATTCTTATTGTATAACTACTCAACAATTACACTATGTATATTTATATCCCTCTTATGACAAGCTTTATTTTGGCCTATAATTTATTATTGTACGATTTACGGTTCTTAAGTTATGTTCAGTTTATTAACTACTGCCTCCCACATTCACAGCCACTTTTTGGGCTTATTTGTGTACAAATATTATTTCCTATTTTATGGTACGTTGCGGTCTGTGTGATTGATATATAAACCAAGTATGCCTGAAATAAACGATCTGCTCTGATTCGGAAGCTGGTATCTTGTTCTGGACTCAAGTGGAAGGGCTCGTAGGACATAGGACCAATAAGGACACTAAACTGCCCACACCGGTTGAACGTCATTGGTTGGCCTAGTGTAAAGATTCGTATAAGTCGTATCCGGATTGGTAGATAAATCGTGTGATAGAAAAACCAGACACCCAAGGTCATAACACTATTGTCCAATGCCACTACAGATGTACCCACAGTTTGTTATATT